TTGTTTTGCTCACGAATGCACCTGGCACTTAGCTGTGGAAGGTGAGATTATGTTTCACAAGTAGCCAAGAAACCCTAATAGGTTTCATCCATGCGAGAAGAATATAATCTGAATTTCAATTCAAAAGTGCTAAAAACACTCTTCTTAGTAGTCTTAACCATACATAAATCCCAATTACCTTGTTACTTTCATATTTAAGCAATTTAGATTTTTCTTGTAAACCCCAATGTTAATCAGTGAGCTTTAACAAGCTGTAACATCCAATCTGATCGTCAACTTGATGTGGAATTTTGCACACAATTGTCAATGCAAGTCTTCTAAATGCTCAAGAATTTTTAGCCCAATCCAACTTATAGATTATGAGAAAACCTCCAAGAATTGCACCAATGTCACTCAGCCGCCAACTTGAAAAGTGAAGCAGAAATTCCAACAATGATTTCTCCTTCTCCAACCGTTAACTTTGTCTCAAAATTGGTGTGTAGCTTGATCTTTAAGTCCTCCAACACCATGTCAATTTTCACCTTAATCCGACTGATAGATCTTTATATATTATAGAAATCCTATCCAACCTCAATCTACCACCTTCCAAAATCCTCTTGTGCTAAAAACTAGATATCTCTAAACCACGCTATTAGATTATCACAAAATTTTGAATACACTTAGCACACCCAATAATCCAAACAATATCAAATTTTCAACTATAGATTTCATGCCAATTGCACGAACTAGCCAAAATTACTAGCCCTAATTATATTATATAAAACCCAAATCATTGATACAAACCCTGACTTTGAACAACAATTGCTAACTCCTCCAAAACCTTTTCAAAAAAATTCTTATATCTTTGGAAAGAACTTCAAGCTAGCTCTCAAATTCTAACCTCCGATCTTCAAATGAAATCCTATTTTGCCCTGGGCCGTCGTTTTAGTGGCTAAAGGTCTGATTTTGACCCTGTCTCACAAACACTTGATCCCCGGGTATCAATCTATCCTACCCTAAGGATTTTTTAGCCCAACCCTATTCTCAACTTAACCCTAGTACCAACTATACTAATTTTTTACCTCTTCTAATCTGATTTCATCAATTTATGGTCTTTCTATGATAGTAGAAGAATCTCTACAACCTAAAAGGTAAAATTTCTAACTAACCTTCAACCTACTAATTATTAAGATAAGAAAATAACCTAAGAGGCTTTTATTAAAGCCATGTTTATATACCTCAAATTATAATTAAACTAACATAATTAGATATTAATTAAAAATTTAATTTTGATTATAATTTCACTATATAGTCATATTACATCACAACAACACAAGAAGAAAGTCTTTGGTCCAATTGTAGACACTCTTACATCTCGCCATACGGGATATAAGATGGTATTAATACACAAGCGAGATGCTCAAGGTCAAATAACCAGATATAGGGTCATCTTTTTGCTCAAAGATTTACTCAACGATTTGGCATTGATTATAAGTCCACATATTCTCCAGTCATGGATTCAATTACATTTCAATATATTATTGGAATGACAGTTCATGCCACCCTTGAAATGCATTTGATGGATGTAATAATTGCATATCTATATGATTCTCTTGATGCAAATATTTATATGAAAGTTCCACCTGGCTTAGAAACAGGAATTCCAAATGGACCCACTCCGAGACAATATCGTGGTATTAAATTATGTAAGGCCTTGTATGGTTTAAAACAATCCGAATGCATGTGGTATCAACGTCTTTGAGATTATTTAATTACAAATAAGTTTGTAAGTAATCCACTAATCCCTTGTTTGTTTATCAAATGAGATAAAATTGGTTTTGTGATCAACACTGTATATGTTGATGATCTTAACCTAGTGGACATTACATCTGCATGTGTTACACCTACTAACCTACTTATACGTGAATTTGAGATAAAAATGCTAGGAAAAATAACTTTCTGTATTGGTCTCCAGATTATGCATCTTATAGATGGTAGCATTTTTCTCTACCAACTAATGTATATTAGACGAATCTTGCAAAGATTTAATATGATTGATGCTTATCCATTGTCCACACCAATGATTGGATGTGGTTATGATGGTCATGATCCATACCATCTTTGCGAGGAGGAAGAGGAAATATTGAGAGACCAATATCCATACCTTGCAGCGGTTGGAGCACTTTTGTATTTAGCTACATCTACAAGACCAGATATTACATTTGCAGTTAGTGTTCTTACAAGACATAGTGCACATCCAACACTACGACATTAGAATGGCATCAAACATTTATTACGTTATTTAAAACAACTAATGACTTGGAATTATACTACATACAATCTATAGATCTAAAATTGTGATGCAAGATATATATCTGATATTGCAACAGCTAAATTTCAAACAAGATATGTATTTTTAAGACATGGAGCTGTAATATCATAGAAATCAGTGAAACAAACAATAACCGCAACTTCATCCAACCATACAAAAATTATTGCCTTACATGAAGCATCTCGAGAATGTATTTAGTTGCAATTAATTGATAAATTCATTCAAACAACTTGTGGATTTTCATATGATAATTCTCTAACTATCTTGCATGAAGATAATAGTGCTTGTATTGCACATATGCAAGTTGGTTTCATTAAACGTGACAAGACAAAGCATATTGATCCAAAGTATTTTAGTTATATCCATGACTTAATTACTGATAAAGCACTTATAATTAAGAAAATTGAATCTACAAATAACTTAGCTGATCTCTTCAACAAAGCTCTCACATTGTGCAACCATCGTCGACTTACTTATGGCATTGGTATGCGGCGACTTGCTTTTCTTGAATAAAAAAATTAATGAATTCTTTAAATAATTAAAGAAAATGATGTTGTACTCTTTTTCCTTTATCTATGGTTTTGTCCTTAAATACAATAAGATTTTTATAGATAAGGTTTTAATGATGCAACAATTGTTGATCTTATAAGATCACAAAAAACTATAGATCATAATTCTATACAAATTTTATATTATGTAAATATTATGATGAGCGAGGAGGAGTGTTGAGAGCATTAAATGTAGCCAACACTCTCCATAATATTTACTATAGACTACAATAAATACCATAGCTACAATATTTAGAGTCTAGTGGAGAAGAACTATTTATCTTCTCCCCTTTCTCTTCTTGTATACAAGACACAACCAGATTAATAGATTTTTTTAGTGGAGAAGAACTATTTATCCTCTCCCTTTTCTCTTCTTGTATACGAGACACAACCAAACGCTTTGACTATGGCTCTCTCCTTAGAAACCCTCTTGTGTGTATGACTTACTACTACACTTGTGTGTGTGTATTACTTACTATTACTCTTGTGTCTTTCTAAACATTCTCAACAATGTCCATCATGTATTCATAACACATCCTATTTAGTAACAGATTTTTGTAACACTTAATTTTGATGCGGTATCTGCAACTGTCTGTGAACAATGTGGCGATGGCTGTTCATCAGGTGCATGCACCGTGAGCCGAACACCGGCCTATTCCAGCCTTCTAGAAGACATACTTTTGGAACTACTTCCAAGGTTGGACTTCTGATTTCTCCGAAGGTGCATGATCCCCCTTCCACCCCTACATTTTCGTCGAACCCCTCTGGAGCAATTCTTCAGCTCCCAAAAAAGCCATGTAAGGGACGCAAAAGAACATGGAAGCCTACGCGATTTCCGTGTGAATGTTGGGTCGAAAATTAGGTTACAGATGTGTAAGAATATGGGCGGATCAGAAATTGAGAGAGAGATATGCAAAGAGCACGATGGGAATTGGGACCGGACAAGGAATATTCAGCGACAGGATAGAAGCTTGCAGGAAGCGGCGACGGCATATCCGGCCAAAGAATACCCACATTCGATGAAAAGTTCGTACCTTTTCTCAGCAAGACCGAAAAGTCCGAATGCCCTATTCTAGACCACCTTCAAGGTCACCCAAGAGAGATGGTGCGGAGCAATCGCCATAGTCAAAGAGGAGTCAGTGACAAGACCATAATAATGTGCCGATTTGCAGTCGATGAAGAGAAGTAGTCTCTGCTGCCAGCATGATAAGGAGCGGCCTGTTGTTGTGGATGATCCGATGGTGGGCTAGGATTTACGGATAAGGGAGCTGCAATGTGCTTGAATGTGGTGCACCTCAAGCTGACCCGCTAGTGTCGTGTGCCCAGTCACGGTGATGCCTAACAATAGACGGCGGTGGGTGCTCACGCTTATCCGGTTAGAAGAAACACACGATCTGGTTGCTGCCTCGCAAATCCAGCTGCAGCAGGCATTGGCCAATATGCCATCCACCACGTCCACCAGAAAATCGACGCCCGAAGTCAGCAATTTCACAACTTCAAACCTGGCGATGTAAAAATGACATATGCTCCGGCATGTAGAAATCCTCGAGCCCATCCCCCTGCTTCCTGAGTTCCACATCCTTTCGCAGAGTTGCAGATTCTCAGCACCGTAGATCAACTCATATACCACTATAATATACCCTAAAATCCTTTATCAAGATGTGGGAGAATTCTCATACCCTCCGTGGATACCACGACGAATTTCAGCAGTTGGGTCATCAAGTTTGAAATCTACTCATGTCAATCGTACCCAACTCGAGCTGTCAAAACACATGCGCTGTAAGATAATTGTTCGTTCCCACGACTGGTGGTATTTTTAACTTTAAACACGATTGTGGGCATGACAAAGGATACGAATCGCAGCTTCTCTTTGCGGAATGAATCAGAAATGTCACACCTGTAAGAAAAGGTGATTTGTTGCAGTTAAAATCATGTGCTGTGGATGAATGAGAATGTGGCGGTCAGCGCCTTAGCCCTCGAGCTTGCGGAATCGCTGCATGTGGCTTATTCTTTGAGAAGCTGGGACGGAAGGTGGGATGAGGTGGAGGCCTGGAAAACAGCCAAGTGAGTCGGGCAGGGCGAGGGAAGTTGGTAAATCATCCAGCCAATTGAAGTCCCGAGCTGGGTCGGCGGTTCCGCAGCACTTCTACCGAGCAACACGCTCCCATTTCGCTCCCTTCCTTACCCAGTCCTGCTGCTAATCTTCGTCGATCACGCGCTCATCGACACATCCGACCTCGTCGCACCACATCCCGTCACCACCACCTCACTCTCATAAACTGTGCTGCGCTTTCCACATCCTCCTCTATCCGTCTCCTTCTCCGCAGCCTGATGTCTTCACATACTTTGTGCATGTGCTGGAAGCTTATTTTCGGAACAAAGCTTCCACTCCTGTACCTGACCATCTTGGAAACGCCGCCAGGTAGCACTGATCGCGCAGTCTTTGTTTGTTTTATTTATTTTTTACTTGTTTTCCAGTTGCCATCCGGGTGCAACGTGTGTTGATGATCTGGGATCCATTGGAGACAGCCAGTTCGGCGGCTAAGCTTCTGGGATTGCTGGCGAAGTTGTGGTGGATGCAGCCGCAAGAGCGTGCTATTTTCTGAGTGGTGAGAGAAAGTAGGGAGCTGGCGGCTCGTGGGGGTTTTGGGGGCGGTGCTGGAGCTCCACTTTGGGTTTTAATGTGCTAGTGTTTTTGGGGAGCCTGAGGGCGGTGGGGGAGCTCGGAAGAAGCTGAACGGGGTGCCAAGAGTGACCATGCTGGTGTACACCAGCGCGACGCGCCGTCCCTGCCGACTTCCCGGTGCCTGGAGGAGGCCTTGGGAGGATTCATTCACTGACCACCTTGCAACAACGGTGTTCTTCTTGGCGAGTTAAGAACGTGGTTTTACTCTGAATGGTTGCGGTTTGAATTCCTTGAAGTGGAGGAGTTGCAGGAACCTGGTGCCTGGGGGCAAGTTTAGCAGACTCCGATATATCTTTGGGTCTTCCCATCCACTAGATTTCAGGACATTCATTGAGGAAGTTTGCTAGTCATGGAAGAGACAGATGTGCTCACGAAAATGGCGAAGGCTTCTCGAACCGGCAACACATCGCCAAAGCAAGAGAAGAAGAAGCAAGTCTGTCTGAAGATTTTGCGGCAGCTTGCAGAAGATGGGCATGAGGCTGCTCAGAAACCTGGGTTTGCTGCAGAGCTACAGGCTCATTTTAATCGCTTACCAACTAGGTAGAGACTTCGTAGCGCCCTGCCCGCCCTTTTACGCTGATTTGACTGTGGGGAATTCTGTCAGCATGTCTGACTGGCCGTGTGTGTAAGTCTCTGAATTCTGTCCGTGAACCGTAGACAGTGAGTTAATGTATATTTGCATCACATTCGGCGGACTGCAAGGTGGGCGACCTTGAGAATACATCTTATCAACGGCCTCTTCATGACGAATTTTTAGAGGTCTATGGAAATTGGAAGTGTAAGGATCTTCACTGTATCGGGGCATATTAGGTCCAATTATATGCGACGCTGGTTCTAGTAAGCACTGAGGAGTTGTGAGCGCTCACTGATCTCAGCTTCAGCGTGAGTGAATCGTTTGTCCAGTTTACTGCACTGCGACGACCCCGTGTCCGTATTCAAATCGCAGTCGAATTTCGGAAGTGACTCTTGTCTGATTCGTTTGAGTTTGGAATTTGTAGATATGCGTTAGATGTCCACGTAGACAGAGCGGAGGATGTGCTAACCCACAAACGACTTCTTGAGGAGGCCAAAGTTCCAGAGAACAGGCCCGTGTTTCACGTACGAGCAGTTCAAGTAAGTTTACAGCTATCTATTCTATCACGCTTCATTTTTTATACGATACTTCACATGCATTTTTTTTTTTTTTTTTTTTTTTTTTTTTTCTGAAGGATAACAACTTGTCGGATCTGCGAACCTTCGAATTGTCTGATTAGAGAATTCTCAGGGATTGTCGATGGTTTGCTTGGACAGGTGCTTCCAGTGGAGTCTCAAGATGTGCCGCTGAGCCCATCGGGCCACAAACCACTTTCGAAATCCAGGTACGTTTCTAATTCTTGATCGTTTTGAATCTGGAACGCCACCCACATCACTCACCGACTCAGTGTCGAAATCGCTTAATCAGTGTGCCATTCTTGTGTGTTACAGGTTGGCACCCCCGGTGTTCGGATCCTCAGCTAATTTGGAAGCTCTTGCAATGGACTTCAACAGCAAGTCTGTGGTTCACGGCGAAGAGAGTGATGGTAGCCATCATTCTGATGGGTATAGCCTACGAGCACTCGCACGGTTAAGCTTGAAGATTCTCACGTGTTAATTCTACAGGTTTATGTTCAAAAATGATGTATCGGCGCGATTCGTAGACTCACTTTCTCCCCTTGTTTCTCCTTTTTGACAGTTCCAGTCACCTGCAGTTGCCGATGCATGAGGTGACCTTCTCCACTGTTGACAAGCCGAAGCTTCTGAGTCAGGTGGGTGCCTGCCATTACCAGTTTAGGGATTCGATCAGATAATTCACATGCAATATCTTTTAAGGTTTTTGGGTGATGAGTTCTTGCGTGAGAGTGATTATAGGGTGAAGTGAGTAGAGAGTGGGTTTCAAGGACTTGACCAAATCACTCTGTTGGAGTGCAGATGTCTGCCTTGCTTGCTGATGTGGGTCTCAATATTCGTGAGGCACATGTATTTTCAACTACGGATGGCTACTCGCTTGATGTCTTTGTAGTTGATGGTTGGCCTTCGGAAGACACTCAGAATCTGAGACGAGCTCTTTTCAGTGCATTATCAGCCATGGGCGTAAGATTTCTGTAACGCATAGTTTGTCTTTTAAGTTATTATGCTTCATGTTTCATCGGTTCATTGTAATTTTTGTGATTCTAGGGGTCTATGCAAGCAGCAGGGTCTGAACATATTCAATGGGTTGACGTGCAGAAAGGAGCTTGGGTTAAAGCCTCTTCAGCGACAGTGCCATCATCTCCGCAACCATCGCAAAACGGTGTGCAAAATGGTACACGGAGTTCGTCTGAACCAAGCGTAGATGACTGGGAGATCGACATCAGTCAGCTTAAATGTAACAAGAAAGTGGCCAGTGGCTCTTTTGGAGACTTGTAAGCCTTCCTTGCTTCTCCTTGATGCCTGACAACTTCGATCTTTGTGTGGTTATGGAGCAGTTACGGAGTCCACCAAAAGGTTATTAATTCAGTTGTTTTGCCAACTCTTCTTTAGGTTTCGAGGAACTTACTGCGGACAAGACGTGGCTATTAAGATTCTCAAACCCGAGCGCCTAAACGAGAATCTTCAACGAGAATTTCAGCAGGAGGTGTTTATTATGCGAAAGGTCAGACACAAGAATGTGGTGCAGTTCATTGGTGCTTGCACTATGCCTCCCAATCTGTGCATCATCACTGAGTACATGTCTGGAGGAAGTGTATATGACTACTTGCGCAATCAGAAAGCTCTTCTGAAAATGCCAATGCTTCTGCGAGTGGCCATTGATGTCTCCAAAGGAATGGACTACCTACATCAGAATAAGATTATACACCGAGACCTCAAGGCTGCCAACCTCCTCTTGGATGAAAACGAGGTATGTATTCAGCAGAGAGTTTTAAACCCTGAACCTGGAAGTCTTGTGTGACTGAATTAGCATCCTATTTTCTTGTACTCTTTCTCTATACTTTTACGAAGCGTAAGCGAAACTGTGGGCTGCAGGTGGTTAAGGTGGCTGACTTTGGCGTTGCAAGGGTGCAATCCCAATCTGGAGTTATGACGGCCGAAACGGGCACATACCGTTGGATGGCTCCTGAGATTATTGAGCACAAGCCTTATGGCAAGAAGGCTGATATGTTCAGCTTTGGAGTAGTTCTCTGGGAGCTTTTAACTGGGAAGGTTCCTTATGCGGATATGACTCCACTTCAAGCTGCGGTGGGCGTTGTACAGAAGGTACTCTAGAATTCACATCTCTTGATTGTGTTGTAATGGACTGTTGGCTGCGGAAGATAGAAAAAAGATGAGAGAGAGGGAGGTAAGTTTGAAGTTTTGTGCTGACAGTGGTGTCTGACTTGATTGATTTTGTCAGGGTTTGCGGCCAACTATTCCGAAGAACATTCCTCCGAAATTGGTGGATCTTCTTCAACGCTGTTGGAAAACCGACCCATCAGAGCGGCCTGAATTCTCTGAAACTACTTTAATACTTCAAGAGATCCTTAAAGAGGTACTTATCTGTTACACATGTTTTTTTAGAATCGTAGGAGAGTTCGGGTTTTTACATCCTGGTTTCCCCGAGACTTTTATTTGCAGTCGTTAATTCAATTTATTGCTTGCAATTTGCAGGTGAACGAAGAGTTAGATAATGAGAGTAAGCAGCCCAAGGACAAGAAGTTGAGTGGGTTGTTTTCATCATTCAAACGCTCCACAGTTAGCAGATAGCAATTTTGTTAGTCCTTTAGAGTTTGTTTTTTCCAAGTAGAGATATATTTTCACTTTGTGTCCTTTACGATGTGGTGGACACACTTTGCGTACGCGTACTTAAATCGAAGTAACGTGAACATTAATCAAATTGGATTACCGAGTACAATTCAAGCTTGTTTGCACAAGCGCCTACACACATGTGTCGGGCCTGTTTTAATAATAATCTCTCAAATTCACTAGGGTCTGCTTGTTTAACAAATGGGAATATTGCAAGTATTTCATCAACAAAGACAGTATAAGGTGCTGCTGTAACCAACAGAGACCTACTCGTCTGTGTCGGAATGAACGCATGAAAACTCGGTTTGTTGCAATAGGAAAGGTAGCGAATATAAATGATTCCTTTGTAATGCGTGCCAAATGTTCCTACTAGAGTCGCCTCTCTTCAGCTACATTCACCCGCACTCTCAATTGTCACACCATCTACTAATCAAACAAGTATGTTTCCACCGAGTGTGTACCATGAATGTGCAGTTTTTATAGCCAGTAGAGTGTAGCACTGACCATATCCACTTCGAGAATTCTTCTGGAATTTAACGGAACTCGAATTTTAGAAGGTTTACATTTGGGGACAAACCTCAACTATATACACCTAATTCTCGGTAGATTTTCTTTGGAAGAATTTACCGAAGCTGAAGAAAGTTTTCACTTCTTGCTTCTTTTCTGGGTCAGGAGCAGGCTTGAGATGGTCGCTTTTCTCCTTGTCATTCGTCTTGTGATCCGAGTCGAGGAGAATTGAGGGAAGCTCGATTTGCTGGAGTTTTTCCAACATGGGTTTCTCAGGTGAATCCTCGACAGGCTTTTCTTTCTCCTCCTCTTTGGACGATTCATCCCCACTCCCCGACAGCCCTCCCACGTATCCAATTGGCTCATTAAGCTTGTCTGCAACTCTCTTCGTGGCTTTCACTGCTCCAAACCTCCAGGCAACGGTGATGGCCACCATGAACCCTAATGTCCATTGTAAAATCCTGTTGCGTTTGTCGATTGCTTTCTGCGATACGACATTTCCTTGAATGTTAGTCCTGGACTTCCTCCGCTTCTGCGGAAATCTTTTCATTGAATTCACAAGGAGCTCCATAGCTTCAGTGTTCTTCGTCACTGACACGGCTGTAGCTGCGGCTGCATCTGCTGCTGCTTTGGCCGCTATAGCTGCCGCATCCAGAGTCATTTTCAATTGTTCACTGGTTGATGATGACGGCTTCTTCCCTCTGCTACGTCTTCTGTCAAAGCTCCCGCCTCTGGCAAGTTCTGGAACACTCTCAACCTCAATTGGGAGTGCTGGACTTCTCCGAGAGCCTGGGGTCTCATTTCTTCTCAATCCGTGCACCTACACATTCACATTGCAGGATTCACACGAATGCTCCAAAATCATTAATTCATTAAGATAGAACATTGAATATGCTTACAAACTTGCAAACCAGTTTGTTATGCTGCGCACATGTCTCACAGGTGAAGATTAAAGCAACAGGTAATGTCCACCACCTGCTCCAACAAGTTTGCAAGCAGCGCTCTGTCCTCGTAGATGGAAGACCTGGCTGGTGGAACATTTCTTGAGACAGCCGAATAATTCTCCTCGCTCTCTGAACTGCGGAATCCTCCTCTCAGCCTCGTCTCTATACCCGTCTTCGCATTTTTCGAGTTCGATTGTAATGAATGTTCCCTAAGCGTGCGAAGAATCGCATCTTCCACTAGGTTCAACGTTTCACTACACGTCTCGCTTAAACTATCATCGTTCTCCGTCTGTGAAAACCCATCTGTGTCCGAAGCTGCAGACGACAGAATTTCGGTTTCCTCCATCACGTCAGCATGCCGTCAATTCTAATGAATTTGTGCTGACACTTGCACTCTTCCAGTTTCGTTTCCTGTAAAAAAAAAAAACGAACATTAATCCAAATGTTTCCAGGCTGCGGAAATGATGTACACAATTCAGCTACAAGGTGCAGTATGCAGCTTCTCTTTCCTCAATTACCGAAATAATCCACTAATTCTTTCTCCATACCCTAACATTGCACTTTTCCCATAATCTATTCCATATAGATACTATGTGTTTCACAAATGCAAATCCTAAAAGGTCAAGGCACTAAGCATTAGGTTCAGTCACCCCAGAAAAACCAGTCTACATAAACAACCCATTCCACTCCGCTGCATTCCAAACAAGTGCAGGGTATGGTGGGGTATACGTCAAGATTGCAACACCTACAATTTCGACTCAGTTCCGAGAATTGCTTCGAAATGAAAGAAGGCCCGTCAAGAACTTACACCACTCGCTCGAAGCTGAGTAATTCCACCATGAACCCAATTCTCTAATTTCAAATTCCTCCACCGATCATAAGCCCTAACCCCCAAATTCGACAGAGCGGAATACTCTCACAATAATAAATGCAGTGTAACATCTTACGAAACCTCCATTAGGTTGTGCTTACACCTGGCTCCACGCGATCCTTGGCTCCAATTGTTGAAGCTGCCGAGAACTCCGTGCGCTAAAATGGCCATGAGACACACGTCCACAACTACCAGTAAAACCCAGCAAAGCACGGGGGAAAAGCACCAGCAAGCGATCAAATTCTAAAGCGATTACATCCCGCAGAAATTCCATTAACGTCGAAGCCAATCCAGAATTATTACCCATTCAACAGCAAACAGGAGTTGAAAAGAATTGTTCGACATTTTGTGCGTCCCACCATATCCCGTTTTCATCTCTCTCTCTCCCTCTCACTCATGTTGGCTTTCGTTTTGTAATTTTTATTTATTTATTGCTTTTTAGAAGCAATCATGCTATGCTCCCTTTCAACGGAACCCGTGATCCTTTTGCTAATCTGTGCCAAACAAGCTTAGTCTCTGCTCCTCTTTCGTGGAGCGATGTTTGTCCGTGAACGTGGTGGTGGCTTGTGTTCAGTCCTTGTTTGAAATGCTATCAATAGCAAAAGCATTGAGATGTTTTTTTTCGCAGTTTTTCGCCATGTCCCACTTCGTATCTTTCGCTACAATCGACAACTGAGGTTCCTTTGGAAGAGGATGAGGAAGATGAAGAAGACGAAGACCTGTGCCTTCACATGGTTGACAGTATATCCGCATCGGCACAACTCACTTTTAATACAACGTCACTTCAAAGCAAGTATTGAGAAGAATTGGGGATTGGTTTATTCAAAATGCAAAATCAAATTGCAACTTCGTCTGATATTGACATTCAATTTTTAATATAAAATATGCATTATATATATATATATTAATTGACTAACAATTTCTTTTAGTAACAAAGATAAATTATACAATAGTATAATTGATATTAAAATTGCATCTTTATGCAAACTTATTCCCTTACATCTTCTGTAAAGGTAATAAGATGTGTGATTGTCTATCCTCAACAAAAAGATTTTATTAAAATAAAACATCATCCAACTTTATAAAATGTGATCACAAAGTTCCAGCTGTCATCTAATTCTTGAGTATTTTTCAAACCACTTTCAATGTTCTTTCTATTTAAAAGACCCTTTTATATCTACATAAATATATATATATATATATATATATATATTTGATATTCTGTACAAACAAAATGAAGTATATTACACCATTTGTAAAACATTATCAGTAATTGTTTTATTAAATGTAGAACTTATCAAAAACTTGTAGTTCAAGAGTGGCATTTCTATCATTAGAAGATGAGAAGTAACATTCTTAGTAGTGGAGGATGGAAAATATTGCAGCACAAGTAATTTTTAATAAAATGTGGTAAAAAAAAAAACATTTTATGGTTTTTGACAAAAATAATAATTTATTTTATTTTATTTTATTTATTTTGTAGAATTTGTAAGCATGCTAAATTACTTGTATTTTAAAAAATTACATAATTTATCTTTTTATATAAAATTTTCAAAAATTTATCAGAAATTAAAACCATTAACTTATGTATTTCATATTTTATTTATGTTACATTTTTACAATTACATGTATATGGTAGTAGGAGTAACATATAATATAATTACACCAAGATGAACAATATAATGTCTTTCACATGATACAATTTTTTTTACTTTTTTTTTTTCTTTTAGAAAAACTTTATATATTGTAAGATAGCCAATCCATTTCCAATTACTCAAGCATTTAGCATATCTACAACATGTGTATGTTTTTTTTTTTTTAAATTCTCTACATAGAAAAATAAAAATTAAAAAAATTTTAGATTCTTTTAATTTCTAAAAATAAAATTACTATTAATATTTTAATTGAAGATTTTTTTTGACATAGATTTGACATATATGTTTATGTAATTACAATTAGTAGTTGGTTACACAAAATTGAAAATGCTTAATTCTTGTAATTGAAAAGTATTACATGTAATTATGCTATTAAGCTACACCTCATTTTGTGCTATCTATAGATGGTAATATGTAGATAAGGCAATAGAATTTCAAACATCCAATTGTAAGTAATCCACTATTTGTTTTGCAAGTCCTTTGCAATCAAATTTTCTTGTTTCCCCTCATTTCTAAATCCTAGCTTACACATCCATTATCTTCCAACTCTATTGTTATATTACATGTCTTCTTATTTAGAAATGCACTTGGCACTTAGCTGTGGAAGGTGAAGTCATATGTTGCAAATATCTAAGAAACTTTAATAGGTTTCAACCATTAAAAAAGAATCAATTTAAATTCTAGTGCAAAAGGGTTTAAATCCAATGCAAAGTGCTCAAAAATACTCTTTTTAATTACCTCAAGTGAATACAAACCTTAATTGTCTTGTCATTTGTTCTTTTTTTGTAACTTCTAATTTTTTCTCCAAATCCTAAATCTAGGTAGCAAGCTTCAATCAGCTATAATTCCTAATGTAACCATCTAATTGGTGCAAAGTTTTGTATAGTAGTGAAATAATATATCTTCTATATACTCAAAAAAATTCAATTCAATTCAATTTATAAATTATAAAAAAAATAACAAAAGAACTGTATTAGTATCCTTCAACTACCAACTTGAAGGTTGATGATGAAGTTTGAGCAACAATTTCTCTATCTCCAATAGTTAACTTCAACACCAAATTGGTTTGTAGCTTAATATGTTAGTTTATTAAAACTATGCCATTTTTTTTTTTAATTTTTTTAATTTTTTTCTAATAAGTATGTCTTTAGATATTACAAAAATCCTACCTAGCTATCAAGGACATGAATCTCAAAGAAAGAAAATCCTCAATATATTCTTATGTTACTAAAAAAAACTAAAAAATCACTCAAAGATGATATAATATTGAACTAGAATGTCTATTGCCAAAAACAAGAAGACTAGAAAGTCTTGAAACAAAATTAAGGACTAAAAAGGCATTGACAAGAGTGAAGAAGGCTTCATTCTTACCTCCATATATACTCTTAACTATGAGTTATGTGGCAATGTCCTATAAGACTTCCAAAATGTGTTGACTTTGCAAGACAGGTATCTTAACTTATAAGGCAAGTTTTCTGTATGTGAGCCACATAGTTAGCTTGTCGTGCAAGCTACTAACATGTGATTAACTCGATGACCAAGTTTCTAACCTACCAATCAACTACAAATATATATAAAATCAAAGTAACATCTATAAAGCTTCTAAAAAGCTTTTCTAAAAGGTAATATGAAATTAACCTACTTTTACTTACTTATATCTAATTATATAGGTATATACTAAGATATCTATATATATATATCTATGATAATGATGCTAAACTACTAATTTCTAGGATCTCTTTGTATTAATAATTGAATATCATCTAATTACATTATTAGAATAATACAAAAGTTTACAAACAATTAGCACATTCATTCAACTACGTGCTAAGAAAATTTGAACTATAGATGTATGCATCTCACAAACCAATCAATAGTACTAGTCCTAATTTTATTGCATAAGTTCAAAGTTATCAATATAAATCTTGATTTTGCACAATGATTATAAATTCATTTCAAAACCTATAAAAATAAGCTTTAAAATTCTATAATAAGCTTAAAGCTAATCTTCCAATTCAACTCTTTGATCTCAAAAATCCTCCCCTATTTTGCTCTAAGCAACTATTTTACTGGCTAGAGGTCTGATTTTGACCCTGATCTACAATCATACCTGAGGTATCAATCCAAAAATTCCTAGAGAGTTTTTAGTACAACCTTATCCTTAACTTCATCTTAGAATTGAATATTTTAAATATTTATCTAATCTATTTTATTTTTATCAATTCATGGCTTTTCTAAGGTATTAAAAGAATTTTTTATAATCTAGAAGGTAAATTTGTGAACCAACCTTTAATCTACTAGCTATTAAAATAATAAAATAAAATAAGAAGATTTTGTAAAATCCTTGTTTAAATGTTTAGAATTATTATTAAACCAAGATGATAGAGTATAAATCATAACATCATTTTTTTCACATTTTCACTATATAATCATGTTATAATATGACATTGCTCCAATAGCTCCTTCAAGATCTCTCTCCAATATTAAATTACATAGGCCATACAATTAGTTCATAGTATCATATTGAAATGTATTATAATTATGTGAGGATCAAAATCAAAGACAATTGTTGTGATTGCAACATGGACTATAGAAAGATGACATAATTTTGAAATAAACTTTCAAATATAAAATGTATGATGTTCATTAATTGCCATTTCGACCAATCTACAGCTTCTTGCAAAACAAGTTAGATGTACTCAAGAAGTATAATGATAAAAACTTAATAAAGAACTTCATACATTATTTAAAATCTCTAGCAAGTACTTCTATCTTATTTATAAAGAAAAAAGATAAATTATTATAGATATGTATGGACAACCAAGGGCTCAATAAATTTACCATCAAGAATATATATCTTTTATCTTTAATTTCGTAATTTTTTGATTAATTCAATGAAGCAAAGATCTATATAAAAATAGATCTACAAAAAACATACAATCTGGTATGCATCAAAGAAAGAGATGAATAAAAGACTACATTTTGAACTAGATATAAGGATTTCAAATATAATTTCATGCCTTTTAGATTTACAAATACACCACCTATTTTTTAATATCTAATATATGATATTTTTTGAGATTTTTTTGATGATATTATTATCTATTATCTAGACAACATTCTAAACTACACTAACACAAAAAAACATAAACTTAATATTTTATGTATATTAAGAAAACTTAAAGATGCAAGATTATATATTAAGATAAAAAAAAGTATGTATTTTATACTACTTAAGTTAACTTCTTAGGATATATCATATGAAACAATGGCCTTATGATGGATCCTAAGAAGGTCTAGACTATCATAGATTGGAAGGTTTCAAAAATAATAAAAAATATGATTTTTTTTTGAAATTTTCTAATTACTATTGAATTTTTATCAAGATTTTTTTAAAAAAATTAGGACACCTCTTACACGTTTGACATATAAAAGTAAACTTCAGTGGAACAAAAAAATTAAAGCATTTTTTGAAGCCTTAAAGCCAACATTTATTTTTGTATCAATCTTATATCATGTCGACTTTTTTAAGATATTCTTTATTAAATTAGATGCATAGGACTTTTCTATGGATATAATATTATTAGAAATGGGATTAAATGACAAGTTCGACTTAGTAGTTTTCCATACCAAGAAATTTTGAATAGCCAAGATTAACTATGAGATCTACAACGAAGAACTACTTGCAATTGTAGATTAGTTTCAAAAATGATGTCATTACTTAGAGGGTGCTTCTAGTCTAATCACTATATATATATATATATATATATATATATATATATATATATATATAAATCAAAAAAATCT